CTGGCAACCTCTGGTTCCACTTCTCTATCAAAGGTTTAATCATGCAGATACTTTCACGATCAATTTTTTTCTCACTTCTTCACCAGAATGTGAGTTATTTAAGGTCACAGAATCTTTGTAGATGATCTTAGTATTCCCCACACACCTATCTTGCCAAAGGATTTATTTAGGATTCAAGAGATACTGAATGAATTAACTTTTAACTATGAGTCATGCTTCTAAGGAGAAATGCAGACATATCAAAGGCAAAATAAATTCTGAAGCTTTTTCCCATTTTACTGCTACCAAATTGATTCAGGCTACCTCTATTCACTCACATCTCAAAGCTTTCCCAAGCAACATAGAAGAGATAAATGGCTAATCTTGGCAGTGATTACTCACGGTATTAATCTATTTCACATCCAAGGAATTTAGTACTACTCAGAATGCATCTGGTGTCTAGTGATTCAAAGGTTGTCATTCTGTCTTTTATCTTGGAAGTGTGCTGGTTCTTTGCTCCTGGTCTTACCATGCCCTGATGCTGATTTGTTTAAAAGATTTGGTCTCTCCCATCTTTTGGAGGCAAATCTATAATGGCACTATGTGATGGATTGCTCTTTGGAATATTGTCATTAAAAGGCACTGTATACATTACTTGGAAAGTAATGTACCCAGCACGTCCTTAAATCATCTGTGTTTACAATCATTTTCAAAAAAAGTGGGTCAAGATGAACTCTATCCTTACGACTATGCCGTCGCTTTTGAACCAGGATGACAAATCCATTTGAAGGGATATATTCATGTTGGGATCTAGGGAGCAAACAAAAAAATTGAAGTCTGGGTTTATTTTTATTTTTCTGCATCTGATGGTATAGCTTTCATTGGAATACTTATATTTCTAATGATTTCCTTGTCTTGAGTCATGTAACAGTTATGGACAGATCTAGTCTTCACCGTGAACTTCTGGAATTCTTGGCAAAGAGAAAGGATAACAATTCATGACATTTGATCTACAGGAAACCTATTATTTAGGAAAGATGAGAGAAACATAAATGGAGGAAAATATTTTTCAGGACCAAATGCAGCATTTTTGAATTTTTAATCTGGCTGTTGGTCCAAGTCAGTGTTTCCCAAACTTTACTGCACATTAGAAGTCTCTGGGGCGTTTCAAAAATAATAATACCAATGTTAATAAATGATAAATAAAGGCAAAGGTCTTATCTCGAGTACTCAGATTCACATTTGGAGTTTACGTCTGATGGTTTTGATTTGTAAAGCCCTTAAGTAATTCTAATATGCAGCCTCAGTGAAAACCACTGGTCTGTGTAGAAACACCCCATGATATTCTGATATTGCCCTTCAGTATTTTCTTAACGATGTTTTTCATAGTTCTCTTAGTTGCTCACAGTGTTTGCAACATTCTTCTGGCATCTCTCAAATATCCTTCATGTTAAAATAAGACAAAATATGTTTTTTATAAAGAAGAGACTTCATTGTTGATGTATAATTTCTCTCACAGTGTGTTTTCATGACATGGAATGAGCATGACTCAGATACGCAGGGATGGGAATGATTTCTTTGGCTTTGGCTTCTCTGGTCTTATCAGGACTTTGTACCAGGGCCCTCATTTGTGGTGAAACTTACCATTGATCTGCTAATAAATCCATATTGTTCTGTACCAGAAAATTCTGAACGATTTGCTTTCAGTTAGTTAGAAACAAAATTGATGCCTTGTTGAAATGAGTTCCTCCTAACCCGATCCTCTTCAAAGTAAATCACCTCTTGTGTGACCCAATAACTATTTCCTTCTCTGTCACCTTTGGCTGCAGGTCTACAGGAAGGCTGCATGACACTTCTCCTCTGTAAAAATAAATGAGATAATAAATGACAAGGGCTCCCAAAGACACCTTTTCAACTTCAGGGTCAATGAACTATGATTTAAATAAACACTTTAGCGGACCACCAAAAGTCATTTAGATACAACAGCAGGAAGAATAGTCTTAATTTCTTCTGTAATTTTATTTGTCGAGCTAATTATAGCCAAATAAAATTGTTATGAGGGGACATAGCCTCCTTGCATGTTCACATACATACAGTATTCCATTAAAAATATTCTACTGAGGTCTAAAGCCTGATGCTGGCTGTCATAGGGACTATACGCTTTTATCAGACATAATCACTGAAGAAATTTAATCTATCATCAGAGAGCTAAGATAGGTATACGAAGATGTAAAATACAAGGTTATAAGTGACAAAGTCTATGAGATTGGTACAAGAGAAATCTTAGTATTTAGAGAGAGTCTTTTCACCAGCAAAAGATGTGAAGAACATAGATTTTGAATGAGAGCCTAGGCAAAATCATGAAGATTAGAAAATTTTGAATGCTACGTTTTAAGAAATTAGGGCAGCTCCGGATAATTCCCTTTCATTCTGGCTTCCAAATTTCTAAATCAAATACAATTTTCATCCTAAATCATGACTGAATGTATTAATTTGTCCCTATTTCTTCCGCCTCCTGGTCTATGCTATCCCCATTTTTCCGCTGAGCAACTGAAGAATCCCCTTGCCCCTTCTCCTAATATTCATTCTTGGTCATTGCAATGCCTATAGTCACATTAAAAATATAGACTTTAAAAATAATTGTAGGTTTACACACAGTTGTAAGAAATACCTTTGTACTTCAAAGAGACCCTTTGTACTCTTTAGCCAGCTTCATCCAATAGTAATATCTTGCAAAACTATAACACAATTTCAGAAGCAAGATATTGACATTGATACAATCTACCAATTAGTTTTAGACTTTTCCAATTTGACTTCTGCTCCTGTGTGTGTGTGCGTGTGCACACATTTGTGTGTATGTGTGTACACTTGTGTGTATTTATTTCTATGCAGTTTTGTCACATGTGTAGCCTTCTGTATCTACCACCACGTCACCACAATGATCCCTCTTTTTGCTTTTTATAACTACCTGCCTCTTTCCCATTACCCACTTTTCCCCATCCCTAAACCCTAGCAACCACTAATCTGTCTTACCTTTCTATAATTTTTTCATTTCAAGAAAATTCTATAAATGGAATATTTTGGAATTGGCTTTTATTATTCAGCATAATTTTATTGAGATTCAATCAAGTAGTTGTGTGTCTCAATAGCTCACATTTTCTAAATTGCTGACTAGTATCCCATCGTATTTCATGACATGGATGCATCAGTTTGTTTAACCAGTAACCCATCGAGGACCACTGGGTTGTTTTCTGTTTTGAGGTCTTACAGATAAATTTGCTATCAATGTAACACAATGTACAGGTTTTTGTGTGACTAAACTTTCCTATCTCTGGGATTCAATTCTCAAATGTGCATTGTGTAATATAGTAATTGCACAAATAAACTCGTATAAGTGCAATCTGATTGGGTCACTCTCCTGTTTAAATCCTTTCAATGAACTCCCATTACTCTTAACATCAAGCCAGCCAGCCTAGGAAGCCTTGAAATACCTGGAGTCTGCTCTTCTTATCCAATGCCTCACTCTCCCTCTTCCTCTGCTTCTCTCCTTCAGATGTGTAGGCTTTCCTTCAATTTCTTAAATGTGTCATGCTTTTTATCCTACCATAGAGCTTTGGAACATACAGTTCACTTTTAGAATTTTTCACTTTTCCCTCCTCTATGCTTTTTCATTAAATTCGCTCTCTCATATTTCTGCTCAAATCTTATCCTTATGGGGGATATCTTCAATGCTACCAGACAGCTCCATCAATTACATGCCCTCATAACCCTATTCTTTCTTTCTGTAGCAACAGTTTGCATTATGTACTTATTCATTTGAATATTTGCTTCATGGCCTTTTCATTTAATTGAATCACTACTCTCTGTATCTCACTGTCATTAGTGAAAACTCCTTGGTAGAAAACCTAGACTTGCTACAGACCAACAGAATATGACAAAGGTGATGAGATGCCACTTCTGTGATTCCATTCCTGTGATTCCATGATTGTGTTACATTATTCTCACTTAGTAACCAAGAGAGAGGTAAAAAGGGAAAGAGAGGGAGTCACACACACACACACACACACACACACACACACACAGAGATAGATAGATAGAGAGAGAGACAGAAAGAGAGAGAGAGAAGATTTGTCTTGCTGGCTTTTATGAAGTAATCAACCATGTTGAGAAAGTCCATCTGACAAGGTACTGCAGGTGGCTTCTAGAACCTGTGAGCAGACTCTAGCTTGATGGCCAGGAAAAAAATGTTGGGTCTTCAGTCATACATCCTTAAGGAAATGAATTCTGGTACAAACCAGAGAGCTTGGAAGCAGATTCTGACTCAGTTGAGTTTCCAGATGAAAATGGAGTCTAGATGAAACCTTTATCTCAGCCTTGTGAGAGTCTGAACAGAGGACCCAGTTAAGTCATGCCTAGATTCCTGATTCCCAAAAATTGTGAGATAGAAGCTAATACACTAGCTTTCATTGCAACATTGTGGTTATGAGTTCTGGTCAATGTCATGGGGACTGAAGTGTTACATATAGCATCTCTGGGCTGGCTCATAAAAACTTTCTGCAAGATCCTCCCCAATGTTTTCTGCAGTTAATTATCCCAGTTTTGAGCAGAAATCCAAATACTGTAGACTGGAAGGAATCTGGGATGTTAATTATTGCATTGAAGGTTGCCCACTAAATGCCTGCAATAAACAGTTGTTTATTTATTGCAATGTATCACTATGAATTTGGTGATTTTTGTTAGATTAGCTGATATTATTTAGTTTAGCCAAAAACCTATATTCTTGAGATATATAAATAATATCTGACAGCAGGATCAGGGCTTGATACCTTAACAATGGAAGCTGGAAAAATACCAGATGGTAGAATGGCAAAACAATCAGAGTATCTTTAAAAATCTCCCTAATATCTAAAGGAATGAGATTTAGATGTTCTCATTCTATTACTAGGTCACCTAGTAATAATTTATACAGAAATTGCTATTTCTCACACCTTTGAAACACTTTTCCTTGATAATAACTTCAGGCCATGAGGATAAATTTGCCTGACCTTCAGAGTGCCCTTCTTGGGAATGCTTCTTCTTTGTTGGTTCTACCATATTTTTACAAATAACAAGAAATATCAGGTGAGCTAACTAATAGACCATTGCATTTCACATTCACCCTCAAATCACTAAGTAGGACAAGTGGTTCCTTTTGTAGCCTCATCAGTGCTTGCTGTAACATAATCTCCCATCCTTATATATAGCAAAAACAGTGTCTTTCTTTCAGCTGTTTCATTTTTAATTAATTATTTATTTTTTTATTGCATTTTAGGTTTTGGGGTACATGTGAAGAACATGCAAGATGGTTGCATAGGTACACACGTGGCAGTGTGCTTTGCTGCCTTCCTCCCCTTCACCTATATTTGGCATTTCTCCCCTTGCTATCTCTTCCCAACTCCCCACTCCCTGCTGTCCCTCCCCTATTTCCCCCCAACTGCCCCCAGTGTGTGATGCTCCCCTCCCTGTGTCCATGTGTCCTCATTGTTCAACACCTGCCTATGAGTGAGAACATGTGGTGTTTGATTTTCTGTTCTTGTGTCAGTTTGCTGAGAATGATGGTTTCCAGGTTCATCCATGTTCCTGTTTGATTTTTTAATTGCATTGAATTCTTTAGCCAATTTAGCAATCACTGCATGAATAGAATATTTCCATGCAACCCAAAACAACTATCATAAAGAAACTGCAAAAGCAAAGTAAACTCACAATGACAAGGGAAGTGATGATTTTTTTTAATTATAGGAGACTTGATGTACTTTACATCAAGTTAGTAGAAAACTAATGTGATGATTGGTCTACAACTGATTAGACTTTCTATGAATTCTTTTACCCTGTCATCCAGTTCATAATTCTCATGCTCTTTATCTCAAATTTAGTCATCGTAATAAAGCTCATGGCACTAAGTCCATGGGAGTACGTATTTCTCTCACCTACACCATTATATCATCTCAAGCTATAACATTTCCTAGCAAGCCAACTTTCTTGCAAGTCAATATGTGTTGTTGACTTGAATTCGTGCTTATATGTTTTGATGGGTCAGTTCTACTTCCTTCGTGGTAAAAAGTTTGTTGTTATTTAATTTGATTTAATATTCTATTGACATTAAGTAATTTTACTAATATGGAGATATCTGTCCAATGTTATAATGATGGATTATTTTTACAACAAAAATGCATGGCTAATTTGTTTTTTTAAATAAAGACCAATATAATAAAGTCTAAAATAAACAAGAAGTCTAATAGGAAATGATGAAGAGATTTATTAGCTTTTATTATGGTCTCAAAATATGGTCTAATTAACAGCACGGAACTCAGTCAATGCTACAGTCATAGTGGCTAAAATAGAATAAACAAAGGAACAAATGATTATGTTATTTCTTGCCATCAATTATCATGCCATATATATATTTCACATCCATTTGTACTCTGTTCCCAAAATAAAGTTTTATGTTGACTGAAATGTAAACTCATCCTTTAAAATTAAGACATTACCACTGACTCCACAGAAATACACATAGACACACACACACACATGGTGACTATTATGAACACCTCCATGCACAGAAACTAGAAAATTTAGAAGAAATGGATAAATTCCTGGACATATTTAACCTCTGAAAACTGGACCAGGAAGAAATTGAATCCTGAACTCAGAAATAAGTTCTGAACTTGAATGAGTAATAAAGATCCCATCAACCACAAAAAGCCCAAGACTAGATGGATTCACAGCCAAATTCTACCAGAGGTATAAATAAGAGCTGGTACCAACCTTGCTGAACTGTTCCAAAAAATTGAGGAACAAAGACTTCTCATCAACTCATTCTATGAGGCTAGTATCCTGATATCAAAACCTGGCAGAGACACAGCAGAAAAAGAAAACTTCAGGCCAATATTTTTTTATGAACATAGATGCAAAAATTCTCAACAAAATATGAGCAAACTGAATCCAGCAGCACTTAAAAAAGTGAATCCACCACAATCAAGTAGGCTTTATCCCCAGACTATGAGGCTGGTTCAACATATGCAAATCAATAAATGTGATTCATTACATCAACAGAGCTAAAGACAAAAGCTATAGTTACTCAATAGATGCAGAAAGACTTCCAATAAAATTCAACATTCCTTCATGTTAGAAACCCTTTACAAACCAGGCACTGAAAGAACATATTTCAAAATAATAAGAGTCATCTATGATGAACCCACAGCCAACATTATACTGAAAGGAGAAAAACTGGAAGTATTCCCCTTGAAAACTGGCAATAGACAAGGTTGCCCTCTCTCATCACTTCTATTCAACATACTATTGAAAATCTTAGGCAGAGAAATCAGGCAAGAGAAATAAATAATGGGCATCCAAATAAGAGAATTCAGAGTATCCCTGTTGGCAGACAACATGATTCTATATCTAGAAAACCCAATAGTCTCTGCCCAAAAGCTCCTTGGGCTGATAAACCACTTCATTAAAGTTTCAGAATACAAAATCTACATACAAAAATCAGTAGCATATCTATATCTCAACAACTTCCAAATAGAGAGCCATATCAGCAACACAATCAGATTCACAATTGCCAAAAAAAAAAAAAAGAATAAAACACCTGGGAATACAGCTAACCATGGAGGTTAAACAAGAATTTCTTGCTCTCCAGCAAGAATTACAAAATACTGCTGAAAGAAATCATAGATGACACAAACAAATTGAAAAACACTCTATGCTCATGGATAGGAAGAATCAATATTGTTAAAATGGCTGTTCTACCCAAAGCAAATTACAGTTTCAATGCTATTCCTCTTAAACTACCAATGACATTATATTAGTCTGTTCTCACACTGCTATGAAGAAATGCCCAAGACTGGGTAATTTTTAAAGGGAAGAGGTTTAATTGACTCACAGTTCTACATTTTTGGGGAGGCCCCAGGAAACTTACAATCATGGTGGATGGCAAAAGAGAAGCAGGCACCTTCTTCACAAGGTGGCAGGATGGAAAAATGCCTAGTGAAGGGGGAAGAGCCCCTTATAAAACCATCAGATCTTATGAGAACCTCATTCACTATCATGAGAACAGCATGGGGGGAACTGACACCATGATCCAATTACCTCCACCTGGTCCCACACTTGACACATGGGGATTATGGGATTATGGAAATTACAATTCAAGATGAGATTTGGGTGGGGAGACAAAGACTAACCATATTGAACATTCTTCCCAGAATTAGAAAAAAATTTTTTTTTAATTTACATGGAACCAAAAAGAGCCTGAATAGCCTAAGCAAAAGGAACAAAGCTGGAGACATCATGCTATTTTACTTGAAGCTACTGTAGGGATACAGCAACCAAAACACCATGGTATTGGTACAGAAACAGACACATCACCATTGGAACAGAATAGAGAACCCAGAAATAAAGCCACACACCTACAGCCATCTGATCTTGGAAAAAACTGACAGAAATAAGCAATGAAGAAAGGACTCCTCATTCAACAAATGGTGCTGGGATAACTGGCTAGTAATATGCAGAAGCTTGAAATTAGACCCCTACCTTGCAACACATACAAAAATCAGCTCAAGATCAATCAAAGACTTAAATGGAAAACCTAAAACTATAAAAACCGTGGAAGATAACCTAGGAAATATCATTATGGACATATAGGACTTGGCAAAGATTTCATGATGAAGACACCAAAAGCGAACAACAAAACCAAAAATTGAAAAATGGGATCTAATTAAATAAAAGAACTTCTGTACACTGAAAGGGATTATCAACAGAATAAACAGACAAACCACAGAATGGGAGAAAAGTTTTGCAAGCTATTGACAAAGGCCCAATATTCAGAATCTACAAGAAATTGAAACAATTTTACAGAAGAAAAAGAAACAACCCCATTAAAAAGTGAGCAATGGACATGAACAGACACTTCTCAAAAGAAGACATTCATGCAGCCAAAAAACATGAAAAAATGCTCAACATCGTTGATCAATAGAGAAAAGCAAATAAAAAGCACAATGAAGTACCATCTCATACCAGTCAGAATGGCTATTACTAAAAAGTCAGAGAATAACTGATGCCGGGGAAGTTATAGAGAAGAAGCAATGCTTCTATACTGCTGGTGTAAATGTAAATTAGTTCAGCCATTGTGGAAAGCAACATGACAATTCCTCAAAGAACTTAAAACAGAATTACCATTTGGTATATATATATAATCTAGCAATCCTATCACTGGGTGTATACCCACAGGAATAGAAGTTGTTCTTAAAGACACATGCATGCATATATTAATTGTGGAACTATTTATAATAGCAAAAATATTGAATCAACCTAAATGCCCATCAGTGACACACTGGATAAAGAAAATGTGTTACAGACAGCATGAAATACTATACAGCCATAGAAAGGACAAGATCATGTTCTTTGCAGCAACATGGTCAGAGCTGGAGGCTATTATCCTCAGCAAAGTCACACAGGAACAGAAAGATAAATACCACATGTTTGCATTTATAAGTGGGAGCTAAACAAGGACATGTGGATACTAGAAGAGGAACAACAGACACTGGGGCCCACTTGAAGCTGAAAGGTGGGAAGAGAGAGAGGATCAGAAGAAGTATCTATCAGGTACTAGGCTTATTACCCAAGTGATGAAATTATCTGTATACCAAACCCCCATGACACAAAATTTACCTATATAACAACTTTGAACATGTATCCCTGAAAATAAAATGAGTTAAAATAAAAGGACTAACAACAAGAAATGTTTGCTAGCTTTTTTCCTCAATTTTACATCTTAGTTTTTTTATTTTTCAACTTTCCTAGTTTTACCTCCTCTTCTTTCTGATTTCTGCATTAAGAAGAGATTAGAACAAGTCATTTCAGTGTTTTTTTTTTCATTCCAGGAATTAGGCAAAGGATCTCAGAGTTATCTCTAAATAGAAAATCTTAGACAATGGTATATTTGACTTTCATTTAAGACCTGCAAACTGATGAAACAGGAAAAAAGAAGTTCCATTTAAGAAACAACTGAACGTGTGAATTCTTTGTATTGGTAACTGTGATATTTAAAAGCAGTATTCTCTTTATGCAATTCAGGCTTTCAATGAAAACAAAACTTCTTGTGGTATTTAAATGATCTAGGGTAGGCTATTCAATTATGTTTCAGTGCATAACACCATTGGAAAGGTAAACATGATTAACTCTAGCAAAGAACGGCGAGAAAAAGAGGAATTTAATCTGTAAGTAAAAGATGATTTATTATGCTTCACTGAGTAATTTTCTGTACATTAATATAAAAAAGCATAATTTAATTTACATGCCTTGCTGAATTTCCAAGGCACTCATGCTGGATCATCAAAGGAACAAGAATATATGTATGTAAAGAATTAATCTGAAGCTCAGCAGTCCTAATCATACATGCTGAAATAAAATTTTTTGCCACCAATAGAGGTTTTCAGTTCTGAGTATCTACTTACTTTGAAATATCATTAAATTATTCCCAGTTTCATTAATTCCTTACTTCATTCATTTAACCAAGATTTATTACATACCTAACATTCACCTGACACTGTGCTAGGTACAGAGGTACATTAAAAAGCAAAAAAGCAGGAAAGGTTTCAAGGAAAGAGTGTGGCAGAAGACTATTAAGCATGTTATTTCATGTTGATGAAAGTGCTCAGAAGGAAGCACTTTCATGACTCTTTGTAAGTTATGACAAAGGCATGGTTTAGAGTAGGGGGTTCCATGTAGGTTTCTTGAGGAAGTGAAGATTTAGGTTGGATCTGAAGGGCAAATTGAGGTTAAGAGGGAAAGTAAGAGGAGGAGCCAGTCAGAGGGAGCACTCAGGCAGGATCACAGCACATGCAAATCCCATTTAGGAGAAAATGTGTCACCAACAAGACAAAAAGAAAGCAATTCTGTGGTTGGAATGTCAAGACACAATGGAGAGTCCTGTGGGTTGCGGGTGGAAATGTACCCAGCAACAGGACCGAGCATTACAAACCATTTCAATGACTTCTGCCCAATGAACCCATTTTTCTTATTGCAAGTTAGTATCGACATTGCATGGGAGTACAGATAGTTAATTCTGGAACAAAAGACAGCAAATATAATGTGAAATTTGGAAAATAGGACATTAGGTATCATGTGAACTATCACAGGAAGTAAATGGAATATTTTTTACCAACTAAGTTTCCAACATAATATTCCATGATGATTTTTCATCTAATCAATATTTTGGTGATTTGGAAGAGGAGATAGGATCTCTGTATCAGAAATGCTTCTGGCGGTAAAAAACAAAACTCCTAATTAACAGTGCCTTTAACCATATAGATATTTACTGTTTACCTAACAAGAAATGTGGAAAAATATTTTCAAAATAACCAAGGATAAAGTTCCTTTCTTTTCTGCCACATCTAATGTCTTGGCCTCTCATGATTATGAGATGTTTGATATACCTCCAGAAAAAAGGAAAAATAAATGAAAACCTATGTTCAAAGCAGAAAGAAAGAAGAGGGAGTGCAAATTATGATTTCCCACCTATAATTTTAATCAGGAAAGCAGAATACTTTCCCAACAAATCCAAGGCATCCTTCACTTATGTCTCATTGGCCGAAATACAATAATATCGCCTCTACTCCTACTTGGAAGGGAGCTGTGAACATGAGAATTTGGCATTTCTCAGACCCTGTGCAGAAAGCAGGAAAGGGAGAAAGCAGAGGCAGTGCTGCCTGGTTATTCAATCAACAGTGCAAATGCCTGAAAAGACTGGGTTATGAGAACACTTGCCCTGGAAACCAAGACAGGCAAAATTTATTTTGGACATAATTATGCACCATGCTTCTGCTTCTCCAATGGGGTTTTGTGAGTATTCTACAATAGTGTCTTTGTTTTCTGTTTTGATTTTTATGATCACAGATGAGCACTTGATATTGAATCATACAATCATGTGGGATCACATGGGTGACTGGACTAGAACATAGCCCTACATTTGCTTGATGTTCAGATCACATTGACACCAATAGTACATCTTTGATGGTGATCAGCTAATGAAAGGATAGTAGAACATGATAAAGAAAGCACACCATTCTGGCCGGGCGTGGTGGCTCATGCCTGTAATCCCAGCACTTTGGGAGGCCGAGGAGGGCGGATTTACAAGGTCAGGAGTTCGAGACCAGTCTGAATAACATGGTGAAACCCCATCTCTACTAAAAATACAAAAAAAAATTAGCTGGATGTGGTGGTGCACAACTGTAATCCCAGCTATCTAGGAGGCTGAGGCAGGGGAATCGCTTGAACCTGGGAGGTGGAGGTTGCAGTGAGTCAAGATTGTGCCACTGCACTGGGTAACACAGACTCTGTCTCAAAAAAGAAAGAAAAGAAAAGGAAAGAAATAAAGAAAGAAAGAAAGAAAGAAAGAAAACATACCATTTTTTCCCAGAAGTGAAGGCCAAATGATATCATGAAGCCCTGTGCAAATAAAGGTTTCACGTGAGTTTGAGTAGAGAAAAGTGGTAGATGAATTGAGTTACAAGATGGCACATAGTAGCACAGGTATGCTAAATGCTTTCAAAACCATGATGCGTCAGTCCGTGTGATATTCAAATTTCAAACAGATTAAGATTCAACATGTCAAGAGGATTCATCATATTAAATTAAAAACATTAATTTAAATTTTATTGCAGTGATAGTTTGGTCTATAACTTGCAAATTGGTTTCTTACAGCTAAGTCCTGTGAGCATAAGATGTTTATACCTAGTTTTATATTTATAAGCATTTAAGAATATAATGAAAGTAATTATACTCTTAAGTATAATGAAAGCCAACACTGAGTATATGAGTGAATACTTTTTCTTTAAAAAGATTCTATTCAAATTTTAACAACACTGTATCAGAGGGCCCTTCAAGTTAGTCATGGAAGACTCTAAAATTATCCTTGCCTGCCCCTATGTCAAGAGTAATTAAAAACATCTATTTCAAATTGTAGAAGAAATATACTAATTATTCATCAAGAAAAAACCAAAAAACATCTATTTCTTCCTTACTCTGTCTTTTCCTAGTCCACATTTAAAAAGCAATGAATATTCTCTTCCTTTGTGTCTTTTAGGCTTTGCCCAGGGATTTTATACTCCAACTCAAGAAACAGATCAAAAGACACTGAAGTTTCTGAGCAGTGTCTGCTAAAGTCTTTTATTCAGTGTATACAATAAAGTGTTTACATTAGAGTTTTAAAGCTGGTAGTATTTATGAATAATTTGCTGAGAGAAAGTATTGGTGTTTATGTAGGAAGCGTTGTAAAGAAAACTTGATGAATCTCTAATAAAAATCTAATGGATTTGTTTAAACAGAACTTTGATTTTTGCTCACAGGAGGCAATAATCCATTTTCATGGAATGACAGAGTCAAAAGAAGTCTTAGAGGCCATCATGTTGTCTTCAGGAAACAGATTTCCGGAGGCTAAGTGCCCTGTGAAGGCCGTTTTGTAAGCTTATAGAAACATGAAGCTTGGGACTCAGATGTCCAGAAGATTATGGGTCTTTTTCCTAGTATCACATACTTAAAAAAAAGGAACTATTTGGGACGGAAGTGGGGAGTGAAAGCATTTGTATTAAAACCTGGTTCACTTAGCAGTGGCCTATATGCCTCTCTAGCTCACGTTCTCATTGAGGAATAATTGAATAAGTCAACACCCTACTCACAAATTATGATAAAGGCTATCAATAGAACAATCTGAAGTACGAATTTAGGAAAAGTGATCCTCTAGTAAGTGCCCATCCTTTGTCATCAAGAAAACAGTACTAATGACCATAACTGTTTTAAAGTCACTTACAAAAATTTCTAAAGTTGATTCCACAATGAAATATTTACCAGAAAATATTCAATGATTTAAAAAAGGCAGTCAGCACACACAGGACATTGAGAAATGTTTAGTCTTTAAACAAATGGATGAGAGCATCAATTACATATAATTATGTTAGATAAAATAATGAAAGCTCTGAGCAGTTTGAATGTTTCATATGAAATCAGACCTCTGCACAAAGATTAAAAAATGGAGACATGATTAAAGAATCTGATTAAAGACTTTGGGGAAAAATTGATGCTTATTTTGAGCAAATCTTTCTTTAAAGTGGTCTTTCTAGTTAGCTGGTGTATCTTGACAGTCATTTGTGGTGGTTGCTTGTGTTTAAGTTTGGAGGCATATTTATGCTCAGCAATCACTACAACGTGCCAAATTTTGAAATATATTGGGCGTGACTTAAATAAATACCACCCCCAAAATTTCCACAATAGTAAGTTAGAAGATTCAGCTCCAAAACTCCAGATTTGCTAAATGACTCCCTAACAGTGAATGCAGCAGCAGCTGAGCAGTTTTCCTCTCTCTGGTGCAATTCGTATGTGTACCTGGCGGCCATATTTTCTTTCATCAGATACTGTTGCTATGGCAACCACCTCCTTTGTAAGGGCTCAGGGTAGCTGATTCTTTCTAGAAAGGGCTTCTGGGCTGGTTGCCAGATTTTTAATACCAAATTCAGGATTCCACTGAAACTTACTTAACCCTTTCACTGGCCTGAGAATAAATAGAGTGCAAAACCTTTTTATTTATTTATTTTTATTTTTTGAGATGGAGTTTTGCTCTTGTTTACCCAGGCTGGAGTGCAATGGCGCGACC